TTTTTTTGTTGATCTTTGAAAATGTGAAGAGTCTAAACAAATTCTAACACTACAATAATAACAACTAATGCAGAAGGTATACATTTTTCTCCCGCGTGGTTCAAAGACATGGTTCTTTCTTGGGTAGAAACAGGAATACGGGCGGCTTCTCGTGCAAATATCGCTGGGTGGTTGCACAAGCCACCACGACAACAACAGAAATAACAAGGTCCAGTAGGAGTGTTTGCCTAAAACACTATGTAGGAGTATCCTTTACTTCCATATACCTCATACTTCCACTTATACCTACCATGCTACAGCCTTGCTGATTTATGAATCCAGGCCCATCCCCACATGTAGCACTACCAAAAGGGACAAAAAATTCGTTGGCGCAGCCGAAGTTTGCTGTATTAACGTAGGGATAGTAGCTGAAAAACAGATTGTGATAACGGAAGTACACTAAAATCTCAGCAAAGATAACCTCACTGCGCACCAATCCTTGTTTGCAGTTTCTGCGCATCTTCGATTTACAACAGCTCCACCGTTTGAAGATGATATTAACCTTAAAGTGCCTGGAAAAAGTACCTAGTAAATTGGATCACAGTTAGAATCTGATTTGATGTCACGTGCTTCTTCGACCAATATGACGCCTGCGATTTGCTGCAACGTTCTAATCCTTTTTTCTAAGATGAACTTCATTCTGCTGCAGATAGAGGATCGCCACTCTACTAATCATTTTGTACTATAGCGAGCTGCGTTTCTGTCTGTATCATTTCACGGTGAGTGTGGGACTTATTTAGTGGAAGTAATCTAGTTCACCAGATCTAGTTCACCAGCGGTAAAATTCTCAGAATGAGCGATGGCCAACTTCCTCAAATAATCTGCTGTATATCTATCTACCCCTAAGTATTTGATAAGCATAACATTAAATCCATCTAAGGTAAGAGACTGGACTTATTGATACTTAGGTTCAAGAGATGTAAGAATGCTTGATAAACGAGAACACGTGCTTTTTGTAGTTTGAGACTTTCTTAAGGAAAGCTATATGCGCTCAATCCAGTTATTAACTGTACAAAAATCGGCATCATTTATGGCGAAGGAAAGGGTGAGAGGAAAACTAGAAGAATTTCATTGTCCCAATGTTATGAGAAAGCAAAAGCTATGATCTGACGAGCATAAAAAAGATCCCATCTACGTGCCATTGCATCCGGTCCGCCCGTGCGGCCGCATTAGACGAACATGTTACTCATAGGTTAGATACATAAAGGCAAGGCTCTGGTCACCTTTACTAATGAGCGAAAAAAGAGTAGGAGCCTCACCTAAGAAAGCTTGAGTACGCCATGGTCCGGGGCGGATCCCGAACAACGATTGTTCTCACCATAAGTTTGAAGATCGAGAATTATAAGACCAAAAAGAGAGAAAGTTTCACTTTATTGTTGACAAAATAAGATTAGATATCGTAGTTCATGAGAACTGCGGATTTTAGTGAGAATGAAAAAGGGGTTTTGCAAAGTTGAAGAAAAGGCCACAATTTGTGAAAAGTAAGTGCTGAATTCGCCTTAACTATTTCAAAGCAGGTCTAAGAATTTCGAAATGCATGCATTGTTGGAAGTAATAATTACATAATAAATAATGTGTAATATGTAATAGTAATTATGACTTAGAATTAAACTATAGAAGCATGTGTCATATAGCCTTGAATAGCTATAGCTGGATTCTCCATACGATTCTAAACAAATGACATATGGATGTTGGGGGCTTCGTTCAGTAGGAGCCGAAATAAGCCACCAAAGCCGAATGCTCCGTCGGCTCTGGTCGTCTAAGCGTCTTCCATGGGGCATATGGCTCTGGTTCTTTTCTATGTTCTTCGCAAATTAATGTAAGCAAATCATATATCAGTATGAAGGCCTTGAAACGTACATTTGAACAGACAAGCGCAACATCCAGTTTTT